GATACGGGTTTTACATTTTTTCTCATGGACACTCCATAAACGATTACACCTAGAAGAAATGCATGTACTTTAACCTTATATGAATACACGCACATACTTACCGAACGGAGAGATCATAAGCCTTGGGCCAATTCTTGGCCCTACCTTACCTTTTGTTTCCTTTGACCCATGATTTGGAATGGGAGACCACGATGTTGGGTTCGACGGTCCCTAAGTTACTTATTAATAAAAAAAGTTGATAAAAATTACGTCATTAGAAAGACAATCAATCATTTCAATTTTATAAATTATATGTAAAGAAAAAAGAAGACATAGAATAAAAAAATAAATAAAGATGTGGACATATCCAAATAACGTCATAATAAATTCATAAGAAATATAAAAATAAGATTAATACAAGAAAAATATGTAATGAAAACAACTATGACGTGTAAATTTGTTTGCTGAGATTTATGGCTATGTACCTCGGAAGAAGCCAATGTTATTAATGATGACGTTGACAACGATGGCGATACTGATGTTACTGTTGCGACAATTGGAACAATACGACGTTGTTGTGTGTAGCGGATGTGATCTATACAGGTTTACGACTTTTTTATAGTTTTGATAGAATGTTAATGCACATTCGCTAGTGTACATACATGAATAGACATATCATGCTTTTCTTCGTTTGTCTCTTTTATCGGAGCATGTGTCAAACTTGATTTTTCGCAAATTTTCTTTCGTGTTTTTATCCGTTTTTTCTTAAATACGCTTCTTATATCTATTTTCCCACATTATTATTGTTGTGTTCTTTTCCTAATTTTTTTCTTCCACTAATTTGTTTTCTAATTTAACAATTTTTAAGTACCTCAATTACAATTAATAATTCGGATATAGATTCCTCAGTCGTTAATAGTTTACGTTTGTATATTCTCATTTGCATACTTCCCTTTTATAGTTTCTTACAGTGTTCCAAATTTTCGTACAATTTTTTTTTCTTTCAAATTTCAACTATGGACTAGAGAATTCTTAATCATAGCAATATTGCGAACACGAGTGTACTTATTTTATCATTAATATTCACATAAAAGTACTTGTGATTAGTTGACTTTTATAGATTCCATATTTTAATTTTGTCATATAGACACATAAATTTAGGCTTTACTCCACTCACTTCACAAAATTAATTATGTGTGTGAAGGTTGGCTTTCTTATAAATTACAATTATATATATATGTGATAGCTTTTTGTTTCATGATATAGTAATAAATTTATTGCTTAGTCAGAAATTTCACAAGAACTTTTGTAATGTCTTTTAATCTCCAACTATGGGGCCCAGTATATTTGTATAGTATGCAATTAACAATCAGAACAACAAAAAATAATTTTCAAGTTTCAAACAAGGTTTTAAGAGTTGGCGTCAATTTTTTTCCGTTAAAAAAAAAACTCCAAAAATGTCGAAATCGCTGTACATTTTCCTTGCGATCACCATTAACAAAAATTACTTCCAGTTTATTATTCCTTGTTGATAACATTTTTGTCCGCTTGGTTTATAATTGAATTACATATAACGCCAATCGCAATCAAAAAAATTTTTATTTAATCATAACTCATCTCTGTCTCCCTAACAATTTCTTGTCTTTTTCCTTTCAAATTCTACTTTAATTTTTGAAACCATCCAAGTTTTCAATTATACTTTTTCTTTCAATATTTTTACTATATTTTAAACAAATACACTTTTTGTGATTGTGCTTTTTTTCCTCCAAAAACTTTTTATCTCCTTTTTGACTACTACTACTTGCAATATTTATTGCAAACACAACCACATGTTACTAAACAGGTGTTGTACGCGAGTATGAACGAGAGCATTAATAGCTGGAGACAATTAACGTTGAAATCATCATGGGGACGGATCCTTAGCATTAAAGATATTTGGCTTTTTACCTCTAAGGTCTTTGATCTTATAATAACTTGACCCATGCCTAGCTGTGACTGTGGCTTTTTCGAATTGATTAGTTACCTTGTAATTGGAATTGTCTACCAAGTGACCTTAGTTAAAATTCCTTCTAAATACGATCTATCCGATGCGATAAGTTACGGGACGTAAACGAGAGATGTAGTAATAGCATATACGACTTCCCCTTACTTAGTCTGTTTTACCCAAACGGATAAATTTGCATCCATCTCATTGAGAGAGTTTAAGGTATGTTCTGATGGATGCTAACACAGATCGATTTACTCTTTCGCTCGCATTAGCTTGAGGAGAATAAAAATCAGTAAAGTTATGATGAACGCCATAATTCTCTAAGAAGAACTCCAAAATGGATGGCTTAAATTGCACATCGTTGTCAGTTGTAATTGGGTCAGGCACACTAAAAATGTGAAAAACACCTTTTTCCAGAAAAGCAACTATATTTTTGGCATTAAGTTTTTTAATAGGTTCGCGAAAATGAAATTTTGACAAATGGCTGAGGACAATAACAACACCAATATGACCACAAAGCGATCTAGGATAAGGACCTAATAAACCACGAAGTAATCCTTAAAAAGTTTGAAAAAAAATTGTTGGTTGGCCCATAGAAAGCCTAAAGGTTTGGGTTGATGCTTTCGTCTCATTGGCAGCTCATGAGCACGTTTAATTAAGTGGTTGGTAAGATCTGATGGAACCCAAAGTTTCCACGAATTTTGTTCTTGAGCTGCGTTTCCCCTAGCGTGTCGAGTTTGCTTACAAATAAAACCGCCTCGAATCACTATGTCAGGTAATTGTTCTAGCTTGGACTGAAAACGGTCGCTTAACGACACGTATTACGGAGATTGAAGCGCATCGGAAGTCAAATCAGTTTTGATGAACTGGATTAATGCTTTTAAAAAGCAACCATCCAGATATAAATGATCAATTTTTCGAAGCTTTCGGAGAGAAAACGAGACACAGAATCAGGCACAACATGTTGACTTTTCGATGCTTAATTGACAAGTTGAAACTTTGTAATTTGCTTTTACATAGTAGAATAATTTCTTTGAGTACTACTAAGTCTATGGGATTTATAAGAAATAGGAACCTCTTTTCCAATTTCGCTCTTTTGAGCGTGCAGAACATAATTGTTCTTTCAGGATTTGACAAGAGATTTTTGCTTCCTCTGACCATCGGAGAGTTTTCATTTTTTATAACATGCCAATCAGGGGAGTGGGAAAGGATGCGAAATTTCGCACAAAATGACGGTATCAACCGCAAATACGTAAAAGTTTTCGCAACTGGCCAATAGATTTCGAATTTTCATCTACCGGTATTTGCCAAAAGGCATCTTTCAAGGCTTGTGATACATTCAGCTTTCGCTAATCCTCTCAATACTCTATTAATCAATGCTGAAGGATAAGCATTTTTGATCGTAACACGATTCACTTTTCGGGCTTCAAAACATAATCGTACCTTTTCTGGCTTAATAATGAAAGTAATAGGTGAAGAACAAGAATTATGGTCGGTAAAACTATGCATTAGATCATTACAACTAGAACGCGAGGATGCGTTTAGACTTTCACAAAAGGGATATTTGCCGAGACCAAAGGTGTGATCAAAATCGATTCCTAAATAAAAATGTGTTTGAAGAGATGGAATTATCAAAAAGGTAACAGGGTTGGGGTTACCCCTAATAATAACATCAGTTATGCAACGTACTGCCGCATGGTTATTGCCGTCGGCTGTCTGCAAATATACAGTAAACTTTCTCCAAGAATATTTATTTTCTTGAAAAAACTTTTTCGCTGAATTGGAAACAAAATATGGAACAGATTCATCAGTATCAACCAGACCTACTACATCTTGACTAAATAGGTTAATGAAAACAAATGGTCGTGTGTCATCTCGATAGACATCTGGAAAAACGGCGGAAAAATGTTGTCTTCTACTATTTTAGAGAATTTTCAAAAACTGAGTCAAACGGATTGTGGACAGTTTAGTTCGTCTATATAATGACAAAGGCAACAAGGATGCATAAAAAAAAATACCAGCCTGAACTTTGTTATTGTCTCGTAAACCGACATGGTGAGGGTTAAATGTACCGGAGGGTTGTTCAACGTAACCTTGTTTACAGATTGAAATAATTCGGAATGATTCTGTTTTGGCATTTCTAAACTCTCATTAGGACCTGTTTAACTCGAAACCTATTGCCTTGAAATGAGGGTGACATCAGTAAACGGCCCAGGCAGTTTCCTAACAAGCTTTTTGGAAAGTTTGCTGCACCCAAAACAATTTGGTTTCAAAATATCTGGGATTCCACCACCATAATAATATCCATGCCTATCTGCTACACAGTCTTCGAACCAATGATCGTTCGTCGAACAATTCCAAGAAGTCAATGTTTTAATTTTATCGAGTATCATCATCTAGTTCACCTCTTCCAATTGCGGAAGTATTGTGAATGGAGTTTTGTGAATTCAGGTTTATTTAATTCTTCATCTAGTAACTCATGCCTCAACACAAATTCTCTTAAACGCGCTATGCGCGTAAATGCCTTTCCAGAATATTCCTTATCAGGTATAGGAAGTTCAAGTTGAGCAGTCAGTTGCAAGATTTTATTTTAATATACGTTAAACATGATGACTAGAATAATTTCAATTTTAAAATAAATGGTGTTTATAGCATGTTTTTTATTTCTTACAAAATACATAGTATAAACCAAAATTGCAAATCATATAGTATAAAAAAAAAAGTGTCAGATAAACTTGTGCAGAAACACAATTTTAAAATTTAAAAGAAACGATTATCATTTCTTGCGCTTTTTTCTCCTTTTGTTTTATTTACATGTATGCATGCAACACCCTATGATTTGTCAATACGATTTAAAGTTTCTAAAAAGTCGATAAAGCTGTAGCTCCTACCCGACAGAAGGTGAACGCTTCATGGTGGCAGCTCACTTTGTGATAAATAATATTGTCATACGATATCTTCTTTCTGATTTATAATCCATATGTTCCCAGAATAAATTGCCAACAGCCTGGCAACTTTAGTTGAGACAAATGGTCGTCCATTATTATTCGGCACCTTTTCAGTTTGCTAAGTTTTTTGTTTGACTTAAGGCAAAAAAGTTACGACAATAATCGTTTTTGTTACTTGTGATAAACAAACGCAACTTAGCAAATATTCCAAAGCCTACAAATTAGTCTTATTGACTCAGCGCAATTTTCAGTTCAAGCTCAAGAATTGTGATTGGTTGCTCCAAAATATTGCATCGCGTAGATATATCCCGATTGACTTGATGTAAATACATAAATTAATATGGAAGGAGATAACAATGAAGAAAATTATGAAGTGGCGCCGAAAAAAATTAAGACCGAATGGTCGAAAAGTTACTCTAATAAAGCCATGCAAATGATGAAAAGAATGGGGCACAAAGCCGGTGAGGGTTTGGGGAAACAGAATCAAGGAAGGTTGGAACCTGTAGTTCCGTATCAACAAGATGGAAGAAGAGGTTTCGGTTTGCAGCCGAACACTATTCAAATAGCTGAAGAACCATGGGACTTTAACTGCGAAGAAATATATCTACCAGAAACAGCAAATTGGCTACCAAATGAACACAACTTTGAGAATACATTTGAAAAAATGAAATCGTGGATTACATATGGTGATCGAAAAGACTCCATAGAAGAGGAAACTGCATTTTGTGAAAAAGACATTCTTACTGGAATGTTAGAAGCTAAAACTATATTTGATCAATTCAGCGAAAGTGAATTGAGGAAAGCACGCTCGCGAAGCAACCCTTTTGAAACAATAAGGAGCTCCATTTTTCAGAATAGAGCAGCGGTAAAAATGGCCAATATTGATTCCATGCTAGGTTTTATGTTTACAAATCCCAAGGATAAAGAAGATAAGTCTCTGATAGAGAGCAATGACTTGATGTATTTTGCTGATATTTGTGCGGGTAAGGTAATTTCGATAAAAATCGATGTAATTTAATTCACCGGGATAGCTTTACCTATTGCATTATCGCATTATTATTTTAACAACGTTTATATTAAATTTTTGTAGATGTTAATACATTTATCTTCCGATTCATGTGCAACTGTCTTAGGTGTTCCAAGTTGAAACTTGTGATAGAGGTAGCGCATGCAAGTTGTACTATTCAGTAGTAGTGAATGTAGTGGAACCATTTTTACGTCAACTATTCCGTATCTCTGAAAAACGATATTAGTGTCAAATAAACACCTTATTATCTTCTTTCAGGTAAATCTCAGCAATCTTCTTTTCGAATTCGGGTATCTTGTTTATGCGGATGTGTATGACACCCAAAAAGACTTAAAATAAATTCACTTTTTATTATACCGATCGATTCAGAATTATCTTCATAATCGATCTATTTAACGCATGTCGCTTTATAGATCACAGTTTTCGAGATAGTTTGACAAAATATGGTACATAAACGAGTTTTAGCCCAAGGGTGAATATTATTGAAAATGAATTAAATTGAACTGCTTGTACGACCATCGCTAAGTATTCGGGTAAGCCAAATTGATCTTAAAAACGGATTACGTGCGCCGAATTTTGAATTCCCTACCACGTATAACCCTTCGTACCAAAAATTATCTTTATATTGGAATAAAGCCTGATTTCCAATATTTTACGGCGAAATTTAGTCAAGAATAATAAGATCTTCAGTAACAAAAATAATTTTGCTAAATTTACAGTACGTAAGTATTTGTTCCCCTTCTGTTGAAAGGTGTCATTAGGCAGGGTAGTGTAAAGCGTACAAAGACCACCATTGTCCTCATTTCTACCTGTATAGATTTCTTTTCGTTCAGATGAATGGCTGCTTCGAATTTTCTAATAACAACGGTTATCCATATGTCATCTTTGTACTGCTCACAATGTTATTTATAACTTTTCGCAACTCCTGATTTTGTAAAGGTTTACTTTTCGTCAGAACCTTTATATCGAAATAGGTTTAAAAACCATACATATACTTATGGAAATTCGTTGCTACGTAAAACATCTAACTCCCCACTTATATGGGAAAAGATTTTGAAAACGGTCCCATCCAAATTTCCTATTTCCTAATTTTTGTTATATAATGACTTTTCTTAAAGCAGGTTATTATCTGGAAACTTTTAAGAATCATCTATGATTTAATCTACTTTAAATAGTACTCGTCCCAGGCCAAACCAATTATTCCGGCAAGCATGTTGAAAGCAAAATTGCATGGATAGATGTGTTTAAATCAATTCTAAATAAATTGGAATTGATTGAAGATGGCTCACTCCTGATTCGTTTTATTCAAATATTTACACCATTTTTAAATGAAAACGGCAAAAGCAGATCACCCTTAGAATAAATCTCTGCTTTAAAAACCTTCCAAATTTCTTGCAATTACATTTACCGTGCTCCATATCTCCCCATTTGCCCCACACAGATTGCCGTATTCGTGACTTCGAGTTGTTACGTAAACTTTCGTCAAGCTTAAACACGACGGAATATTTCTTGTCTTCACCCTATTCTCGCTCTACAACTGTAGCGTCTAATGGTTTTACTGTACACTGAAATTTTCTGAAGCATATATCAATATTTGCACCCCTTTCTTCGACTGCCAGCAAAAGGCGTATGGTCCTCCTACAATTCTCCCATTGCTTCCGCCAACCAAATGTGACAATGACTTATTATTTTAAAAAAACCATCTCCTCAAGACATAGTTAAAGCAACGTTGGAGAGATTACTGATGATGTTTGGATCGCGTCAATGATATGTTTGGAAACCCCTTCAGACAAGGAGCTTTCCTACCGCCAAACTTTTCGTAAATGTCAAGCATTTCTTTCATAATAATCAATTGTCTGCCCTTTGTGACAACGGGGGAGCGGTGTCCGTGAAAGCAACAATGATATTACTCGTATATATTGCTCACTAAGAAAAGTAAGAAATTCATTTGCATATAAGGGCTAAACTTGAGTACTGGAAATAATTGTGATATATCTTTGAACCAAACTTTGCATCACTATCTGCTTTTGAATTTGTACCAAACATTTTCATACTTGACATACGAGTGAAAATGTGGAGAATATTTCTAACACATAAAAGTCAGCACAAAAAATTGAAGTTCTATTACAAATGTGCTTTCATTACTATTCACTATTACTTTACTATTACTATTATCCAGCGTTGTGCTTACTTTTGATGCTTTGTATATCAGGGCATAAAATACTTTGATTTTAACTTAGTTCGCTCGTTAATCAGTAGTTAAAATCATGGGAGTCTTGATTAAATTTGTTTTTTTGTGATATCTGAAGCCTTGACCTTGACATCAAGCTGAACCTGCTGTAGGTGTTGAGAAAAGCAAAAATTTGAAATTGTTTTCTTTGTCCTTTATCTATTTTTAGCCATGGCGAATTAAACAGTCACAAATAAAAACACATATAAATTGTAAATTCAAACCTACGTAAATAAAAAAACATCTTGTAAATTAAAATTAAAAGAAATAGTAAATTATGTTTGCTTGTAATGGAATAGTCAACCGCTATTTCTCACACTCAGTTTTTAAAAACCGCCCTTTGAAAACCTTGCACCAAGTTTTAGACAAATGCCTTGGGATACTGTAGGTTCTTTTGCCTATCAAGGTGGTTTGTGAGCAAAATTTCTTGTTTTAATGTAGGGATTGTGATGTCTGGGTGCAGCAAACCGCAATACAAATCGAGTATACTGTCATGTTTCGATGGTAGGTAGGTGTTTATTTTTCTTCCGGGAAGTCTTACTTCAAAATGAAAATCGTGTTCGTAGTAAGGTATTACCATTGGCTTAAATATGATCATTGAAAGCAAACTGTCCGGTAATTTAGCTTAAGTTTTAAGTTTTGTGTTAAATTTGGTAGCCGTATATATATAAATATAAAAAGTACGTTTTCTGAAGGTACCTCAACATACGTATTTACGGTTGCTAAAACTATTAAACGAAAAACGGTTTGTCTCAAAATTTTTTGGCAACGGACAAAAGTTAGAAAGAATCAAACGTGAAAGAAGAATTTTTCTGTCGGCGTTTCAGTTTATAATTAAATTTCGAGAAATAATTATATCTAGGATGTTGTTTGTTCCTTCTGTTAATTTTTGTTCTATAATATATGAAAAAAAATGTATTATATCTAAGAAATTTTTTTTTAATTCTGAGTTTTTCCAGGAAGGCGGGCGAAAGACTAATTTCTGTAATAGAGTAGTGGTATACGTTAATGTAGCTTCATCGCGGGGACCATTGAGTGGGGCCTTAGAACGGCTCAAAAGGGGAAATTACTTCTCTCCGGAAATTAAAAGTTTAGGATAAAGATTTTTTTAATAATATTTATGGATAATTATGGATTTGGCTATAAAATTATACATTTTGTTGCTGTTTTCTCTGTCATTTCGCAAGACGCGAAGCGTAAATTGCGCGATTTTGTCTTTGAAAGATGTGATAAAAAAACAAAAACAAAAACCATTCCAAGAAGGAGAATCTGAAAGAATGTATGAACATTAAGGGGCATTTTTATGATGTCGAAATTACAGTCAATATAGAAATAAGAAAACGTAGGTCTATAACCCATTTCATTTCGTGTTTTTGCCTAAATACAATTTTTTAAAACGACATACGGCACTCTTTAACATACTAATAGCTTTTTTACGTTTAATAGCATCCTCAAACGTTATTATGCTACTACCTTTCCTAATGTATGTTTTACAGATATTTAATTCATGTGGGAAGAGAAATAGGTGTGTGTTGTTTAACTTTGGTGGAGGGCATGTTTTTCATTTCTCTCTATTATTATATGTTTATCATTTATTTATGAAATAGAAACAGTTTCATATTTAAAAAAAGAGTTTTATAATTACGCTACGTATAAACAAAAATTTCAAAGAAGTTTATATCAAAAATATCGCATATTTTCAATTGGACAGTAAAATACGTGTAATACAAAAATTAAAGTATAACGCAAAACGCTGTACTCATTTTTATAGAAACTAATTCAAACAGTCCATAGCCGGTATAACAACTATCGTTTTTAAAGCCAGCTCCGGTTCTTCTAGGTGTAGATGAAATTAATTATCGCAGGTATTTAATGCGATATTATACCATACCTTTGAAATATTTTCTACAATTCTTTTTTGTTGCTACAGGAAACATGACGCTTTAGTCCTTCCCAGACATTTTCAACAGGTTTGAGGCGAGGAAAGTCACTTGGCCTCTCAATGACATCTAAGTCCTTCTTCCGGAACCACGCTTTCACCAGATTGAATGATTTTTTCAGATTGTTATCGTGCCAAAATTTCTTTAGTTGTGGAATATTTTTTTTGGCATGCGATAACATTGCAGTTTCCAACCAGTTTTTATATAGAAATCTAACCATAGCGTTTTCTGAGTTGACATCCTCTCAAGAAAATCAACCCCATATCATAGAATTTCTTCTCCATGCTTCACTTTTTTTCTAGTAAATCTAATGTACAATTTTTTTTCCTTTTGATCCAATTACACTTCTCACACCCTTTCCAAACCAATTTATTTTTGTTTCGGCGTTCCAAAGTATATTCCTCCACATTTCCTCGCTTTCTGGTTTACACTAGTTGTTATGGGCTAAAGCGAAGCCTTTGTTCTTCTTCAAATTAACTGTTCTAAGCAAAGAAGCTTTCCAACCTATTCTTTTTGGTAGATTGTCAGCTAATATACGTCGACGAGCAGTTTGGGGTTATATATAGTTTCATTGAAAATTGTTCGAGACAATTTGGGTGGATCTCGTTCTCAACAATTTTTTGGTGGGTTAAAGCACTCGTGACAAGGCTTTGTAACCGACTCAATGATACGGCAAGAAATACGATTCAGTTTAACAGTCCACCTTTACAGGAAAATTTTACAAAACTCTTTAATTTTCACAACTTTAAACAGGTCGCATCTATTTCGCTTTCCAGCTGAAATTCCGCGAAAGCAGCATAACTTTTTATTGCAAGAGCTGTCTCATGTGGTAACCCGAGAATTTATTTTCAGTAGTCTTGCCACATGTAAAAACGTTGAGTGAGCTTTGTAGAAACCGCCTTTTACAATGTTTATGGCGTAGAACTAATTGAGCTCGCACCCATTTTTTTGTCCACATGTGTACACATGTATGTATTATATATACAGGCGTCCCTTGTATAACTCGGTATATGTAAAACACAGTTTCGATATTAAACGATTCTGCATTTGCGATTATTATGACACAGATTCGATATGAAACTTGGATTTACCTTAATAAAAAATAGATTAACTGTAATTTCTGATAATAGTGATGATGAAATTTAATTTTGTGGTCTTGATAAACCGTTTATATTTATATGATAATAATTATTATTATTTTTCGAATATATATTGTGTCGTATTTTTAATTTTTGTGTTTCATAATTTTGTTTTTGATTAAAAACTTGAAGTTAACTTACTTTCTCATTGCCATCTGCATTTGGAATTAAATGCCATAATAAAATTTTGATCATAAAATTACCTTAAGAATTGGTTTCGATACAACACGATGCATATTGCATTGATTTACTTTATTTCAGAGTATCTTATAACAGGTTTCGATATAATAAGGTGTTAACGGTTTTGATCTACGTTATATCTAAGTTTAAATTTTGCCTTCTATGCGATATTTTACTTCAAATAAAAAAGTTTCCTATAACACGGGTTCGATACACCACGATGCGAATTAATCCTACTACGCGAGGAACGTATTTATAAGATATAGAAACACCTTGCTAACAAATATCTTAAAAAGCTGCTAAAACAGACATGCAATATTTGAAATTGCATATACAGTCGTATAATTTCCGATATGAAGACCCGTAGGTAGCCACTCAATTTATAAATGATTTTTTGGTAGATCTGAATAAAACTTAGAAACAGTGTAAATAACTTTTTAAATTATCCGATGAAAGGGAAAATGCATTGTATTTGTTCTTATTTTTTTTTTATATTGATGTTGATGGCGTAATTTTTTACGAACACATTGATCCCATTATTCTTACTGATCAAGAAGGTATGTGGTTTACATCGTCGCCAAAGTAATCTTGAAAGCATTACAAGCATTGTGCTGGTAAATATGCAAAATTAATCAATAATCATTGCCAGAATGAAATTATTGAATATCAATTTGCAAAAGTACAAAAGTATAGCTTTTTTAGAATACTTTAATATAGTTTATTTCTTTTAGGACCTGGTGGCTTTTCCGAATATGTACTTTATCGAAAATCATGGGAAGCTAAAGGATTTGGCTTTACACTTCGAGGACCCAACGATTTTAAGCTAGACAAATTTTTCGCTGGTCCCCCTGAATCTTTTGATCCGCATTATGGTGTAAAAGATGATGGTAACATATATGTTGAAGCTAATCAAGAATCGTTTGCAGACTACGTTTTGAAGCATTGCGAAGTTGGCGTTCATATTGTCATGGCAGACGGCGGATTTTCAGTTGAAAGACAGGAGAATATTCAAGAAATTTTGTCAAAACAACTCTATCTGTGTCAGTGTTTATTGGGCTTGAAAATATTGAGACCCAAAGGACATTTTGTGTGCAAATTTTTTGATGTTTTTACCGCTTTTAGCGTCGGTCTCATATATTTGATGTACAATTGCTTTGAGAAAATATCAATTATCAAGCCAAACAGCAGTCGTCCCGCGAATTCGGAAAGATATTTGATATGTAAATGGAAGAAAGAAAATACTGTCGAAATATGCTCTCATCTGAATTTTGTTAATAATATTTTAAACCAACGAACTGATGATAAGGATGTGTTAGAAATTGTTGATTCTTTGCTATTAATAAAGGATGAAAGGTTCGTAACTTATATTACAAACTCAAACAATTTCATTGGAAAGAATCAAATTATTGGATTAAAGAAAATAATTGCTTTCTGTCGCAACCCGCGCCTTAGAGAAGGAAGGCAGTCGGATTTTCGGAAACGTTGCCTCGATTTGTGGAATTTACCCGATAAGCTGAGACAAGCACCAGAAAACAAACCTGTCGATAAATTCTTAGAAGAATTTCTTAGCGATTGGCACAAAGATAAAGCTTGGCTAAATTCGTCAGCAGCAGAATTATTATCTACAGAGGGGTTATGTGAAAAAATTGAAAGTATTCATGATTGGTACTTTATGCCTATAGGGCGTAACGAATCCAGTTCAACAACATGTACTTTCTTTGTTTGCACAACAAAAGGAAAACTTTCAAGATATACCACCAATAAAAAATGGGAATCTGTTGAATATATTTTTGAAATACCTTCGAAATCTTTCTTTTATGGAGAACTAGTTTATGAATACAGCGGAGAAGGACGCATCCAAACGCGAGTATGTACTTTGCATATCATAGATGCCATTCTATTGGGAGGCAAAGACATCAGAAGACTTCCTCTAAATAAGCGTGTAAGTATGTGTGCCAAATTCGCAAAAAGTATAAGCAAGCCCTATAAAGCGGGCAACACAGCGTTAATACGCAGCAAACCTATTTTTAAATTTGGAGACATATCCCAATTCTTTTCGCAAATGCGCCATTACACGTTGAAAGATAATTCACAACGTTATGGAATTGCATTAAACGATGTCAACACAAAATTTTTTGTTCCTGGAGGAATTATGTTATTTTGCGAAATTTGCCACAACTTCTATTCTAAAATATCGAAATCCCAAAATAAGCTCTATTATTACGACAAGGTTCAGCACATGTCGTATTTCAAAACCAATATGCCTCGAGAAATGTTAAACACGTTACATGCATCTTTTCGGAACAGTTTCATAAGACGTTTGTTATGGAAATGGACTAATACAAATCAAGTTGAAGAAAATGGAGTAAAAGTCGACCCGAATATTCTGTACCGTGACGATATTCAAGTTTTCGTAGTCAATAAACATAATATTTAAAGTTTTATCTTTTATGTCGATATCAAATCTAACGCTTGTTTTTTTTTGACCGCTAGATATAATCAATTTAATACCATTTAATGAAAGCTTGTTGTCTACAAAAGCCTGAATTGACTTGTACAACAACAACAATCAAGTAAGATAACTGTGACGTAAAATGAGATGAGATAAATCTTTCCACCTGTTTTGTTTACAGAACGCTGTGTTCTTTATTCTGGGACGCGATGTTTGGATAAGTTTAATTGCGCAGTTTTTGTTTAGTGAAATCTACTTCTAAACGAGTAATGTAGTGTAATGTGGTGGTCATATAGTTCTATAGACTTGATGGAGTGAAATTTCGGCTGAAAAGATGAAGAAAAAACCTCCTCCATATTTGAAACCTGCAAAATGAAAATAAAATTGCACCAATGTTTTAATTATGAAATAGGGAACCACTCCAATAGTTGATACTGATTCGTCAGTTAGTGCCATCAGGCTACTTATTCGTTGCCTTTCTTCGTCTTGACTCTTCGTTGCTTTTTTCGACATCCGTCAATTGTTTCACATAATATCGCTTAAACGTAGCATAGAGAATTCAATAAGACTCATATTGGTGAAGTTATAGCTTCAGTTATAACTTCAGCTAGATGTTTAGGTAATAGCTTTTAGTTCTGTTTTATACATTAAACTTAGTAATTGGATATGTTTGTTCAGGCTTTGAAGATTGACGAACTCTATTCTGCGCTCTACCTTCCAGCCCTCTTATTTGACATCCATGTCGACGAAATTGTTAACAAACAATTGACTTCACGACGTCTGCAGTTTGTAATTTAGGATTAATACGTTTAGCTGCTTACATTCTGCTTTCCAAGCTCTTCTATGTAATAAAAACTGTGAACACTTTCAGTTTTCGTGTTTTTTGGTTGTTATTCATAAAATACCAAAATCAGCCTCGCCCACACAATAGTATTATTATTATTATAATTGTAGACCAACGAAATAAATTGTTAGACAGTGAGCACTAGCAACCAGGATATCGGCTCTAATTTATAAAAGTACATTAGATATTGAGCCTAATAGCTTTAATAAAGTAATATATTGTATTGATATCCTGTTCTGTAGCTGATTTTAGAATGTCCATAGGATTAGTTGCTCTAAATGCAAAACTTCTAGCCAAGGAAAAGTTAAGGCAATCACAGAGAAAGTGCTTTATAGTAAGAAATTGTCCATAATTGCAGATTGGGGAGGAAGACTTCTTTAAGATCCATTGGTGAGTGGCAATTGTATGGCCAAGGCGAATTCTCGAAAACGTTTGGATCTTTATTTTCTCAACATTTGTTGCATATATAGGTGGAATTAATTGAGGGTTAATAGAAGATAGCTGATGATGGTATTGCAGATTTCACTTTTATTCTGAGAAAGAAAACATCAGCCCCGCACACACAATAGTATAGAGTATAAAATTGGAGTTAATTTCCTTTTTTTTAGGTTCGCGATGATGAATATGAAATATTTGGTGACGACCGAAAATAGTTTTCCTGCTTACTCACTTCGCTTTGTTATACAAAGGCGCACGCAAATTATCACCATGATCGAACATTGACAGTTTATCCGTCGAAAAAACAAATTAATTAAGAACTTATAAAAGGAGTTTTCTCTTGCGATAATGCTTAGTACTCTACAGCCAAATTCTTTCAGACTGAATCGTGAAATTTATTGCAAGTACCTGCTTAAGACAATATTTATTATCTTCCCCCGTTTATGTGTTTTATTGGTTGTAGAACAATTAAAGGATATGGATCCCTAAATGGTTGGTAAAATATTTAAAGTTAACCTCATATAAATATGATTCTTCCTCGGCTTGCACCCATCGAATAATTGGTTGCACATCGTTCTCTAGAAATTTTATCTCTGACGATGAGGTCTTACAAGATATAAAATCGGCGAGCGAGAACTTCCGTTTTATGTTTTTAAAAATTGCGCAAAAGATTTTCACCGCGCTATTACATAGGAAAAACGTAGAACCTACTCTTATTTTTATAAACATTACTCAACAAATCGCTATGAAATCAATCCATACCTAAATGTACATTGATAGCTTACTCACGTTTCCTCCAATCTGATTTACACAATTTGGCGCTTATTCGGTTGAACGATGCTAAATTAAAAACAATATAAGGCGAAATTCACTCGTTCGTTTTTGATCACAAACTTCGCTTTAGTTTACATATTGTATAATTCTTAAAAAAAGGGTAAATTTCCACTAAACTTTATTAAACATTAAATGACGATAAGGGAGTTTTGTAAGATCTACGCTGGAATGTGTGACTGTTATATGGCCAACTTGTTGTCGTTCCCATGTTAAATCAATGAACTCTTGGTGAAAACAATTCGCTTCTTTTTTATATTAAATAAACTTCAATGTTCCTTAGAATAGTTCAAGCAAGTTTCCAATGCAAATTCAATTATAAACTATTTAGCACATACAATAGTTTTGCGAAAATCTAACTGAAATTTGCAACCCAATTTCCTTATCCGATTCGTTATGTATAAAGCTTTAGGGTTTGACCCAATGTTACTTCGTTTATACTCACAAGTAGGCGTGGCCAGGCCGGGGAATACAAGCGAAACTTCATTCTGATTTCAATCATTATTCATCAAACCCTTACGGGTTAAGCCTACAATGATGAGTTATTTCAATTTTTGGGATGGTACATAACTTAGATGATTTATTATTTTGGTGATTGCCAAATCATATGATTGTAAATAAAATTGAAATTAAATTAAGAAATTATTAATCTAATGTTCATTTTGTAGTAATTTTTATCTTTTGTATGTCACTTAATTCAAATTTTCGTTTTATAATCTGTATTATTTTGTAAGGAATGAAGACCAAGCAATGAAGGTGGTTTATTTTGAATTAAAAATGCATTTGTCAAATCAAGACATTTAAGCACTCCTTTGCTTGTCTCCTACAATAGTAATTTGTCTTTACTTTAATTTTTTTAATGTTGTTTTTCAGATATCTGTTTATATATATTTTCGCTTCTCTATTTTTATTTCTGGAACCAGTATGTTCTTGTTTACAAGTAAACCGACTTCTTATTATTTTGTTACCAAATGATATGGTAAGACGACTTCGCACTGTGTTTACCAGTTAAGAATTATTTGCACGAAAAATATATAATTATATAAAACGAAAAACGTAATTGTATCTAAATCCTTAGTGGTGCTTAATTCAGTTAAAAATTTACTGTAACCGATATACGTTAATAAGGTGAAATTAATATACAAATCATTTTAGAAAGATCTGTTAAATCAGAGTGGCGTTTAATTTATTACTACCCGTGTGGAAATTGATAATTAATATTTATATTTAATTTGTTCCGATGTTTCTTTAAACGCAAATGTTTGGGGATTTTAATTTACCGCAAGTCACTTATATGGTGCAGTGATAATTTAGACAGTATGATCCCCACTTTAACATCTGATAAAGCTATTGTTCTTTTCAATGAAATATTTCATCGAAACCTCCAATACAATCGTATTCGTAATTGTAGTGGTAGACTGCTACATGTATCTTTTCTCTGTCAATTTCCCGGAAATAGTTGTAAATCGCCGTCCACCTTTTAACTTAGCTGAAGATAGGTATCATTCAACAATTTGTTTATCCTGTCATTGCAGACAGAATGGCCCGGCTTCGAATCCTTTAGCGATATTGAAATTTCGAATTTCTTTATGGAATACTTCCAACGAAATTTTTGTACCGCTGATTTCAGCATCGCTGATCCATATCCAAACCATAAACTCGCTTTCGATTCCAAATTTGATCATTTCAGAAAATAACGTATCTTAAGGTTTAAGGTCAGTAAAATATAGTGCGCCAGGGCATGATGATATTCCATTATATATACTCAAGTTATGCTCTGATGAACTGATATCTGAGAGATTGTTATTCTTGCACTGGAAACAGTAGTTTTTCCTTTGTGCCGAAAGATTATCTTTCTTATTTCACTTCACAAATGTAGAAACAGACATATCATCAAGAACTGTAGAAATATTGCCCAGTTAAGTGTTTTACCTAAATTGTTTGAGCGAATTGTTGTTCAACAATTAGTTTGGAGCATACCTTCGTTGTATGATCTCTCCTCTTCAGGCGTTAGTTGGCATAAACTTGTGCGAACTACTAAGCCATTAATAGCCTCCAAAACCGCATCAACTCCAAAGTAAGTACTAAACGGACCATCGGAGGCATGATAGTTAACGATATGTATATTTTAATTTACATTGTTAGCAAATGTGCAAACTCCTTTACTTACGCATTTCCGTGTAACATAAAAGGATTACAAGCGTTCCGCAGAGCGCTCCTACGTCTTACAAGATTTCTCTTCTGCCAATATCGATGTTCCTCTACTGCCAAATAATATAATATGAGCAAAGAAACCATTCCGCTCGATGTGTACTTCCTTTTTTTTGCATTATTTAGTAGTAGATTAGGCCTGTTGGCGGTAAGACCAATATATTCAGTAGAATGATGAGTTTTTATTATTTGTTGATTCTTTGCGCGTTATCAATGGTAGTAGTATATGATGACGCCTGGAAAGATTGATGATACATAATTGATTACAAGGTTTAGCGAATTATTATTAATTAGACAATTGACGTAAAAAGAAAAAAAAAGAATTAATGTGTTTTGCTTTCACAAACATTTTTCCAATAAATATCTTAATAAGTTAAAATTTATAATTAGGTGTGTTAGGAGACGTCTCTGCATGATACTTCAAGGGATGTTTATAATCGCAATTACGGAGCAGATTAAGATCGAACACATTCGTTAAATTTTCCCAGATATATTCTAGGAAAGGATGATATTCTTATCATGAATAGATTGTTTGTAATACAGGAACCCACATTATGGAAACAAGCAGTTCCTCGCGGGAAGCGAAGATTTTTCAAGGCCGTTGCAAAGCTTTAAGCTGATTGCACTAAAGCATTTTAAAAAACGTTTTCATGTTGCCGCAAATTAACCGCTATACTTTAGTTTTTGTTGTTAGTTCATTTTCAGTGTTTGTTCAAAAAAAGCGGGTATACAAATTGTTGCTTCATTAAATAATATTTGATGTACGTTTTACTATTATCTACTATCACTAGCATTTAAGGCTATCTGCTTTAATTGATGTACTTTTTGTTATCAAATTTATTGATGTATTTGAATTTTCAAAATTTATAATGTGCACTGAACTGGTCAAATTATTATTCACCTACATTGGTTTAATTCACATTTTTTCACATTATTTTTTTTAAATTCTTTTTATTGATTAATAGTTATACTTGCAAGCGATAACTTTTACAAGAACTGCGTTGGTTGGTTTGCCAAACATACGCAAGCAAACATACGCCAAACATAGGTTTAGGGAAAGGTTTTAAATCCGATCAAGATTTCTTGGTGATAATTATTATTAATTTTCTGCTTCTCTCTGTTTATGTTTTCTTTTACTTTAAGTTACAAATCTCAGTTTATTTCAGTATATTAAACCTTCACAAACATCATTTACGTTAAATACGTATTTTATCCTAACAGTTCCTTATAACAAGATATTTTTATATAAATTTTTTATTGCATTTATGATTATAAAGTTAATAATTCATACAGCCACGTTAGAACACGACTACTTTCCGACAATGACAAAAAAAGACCGTCTTTTTCTCATCTCTCTTCTCCTGTTGTCACCAATCTCACAAGATCAGTATTTATTTTTTTGGATTTCTTTGCTATTCTCTTTCGCGAAAGAATACAAACAATGTTATGCACAACGTACTGAATGTAGAGAGAATAGCCAATAATCACCACAAAAATTAAGATATCTATTTGTTTTCTTCGTGTTCTAAACAAGAAAGAAATAGTAAACTTAAAAAAAAAATAAGTATGGTGTATATGTCTTGAAGAGCAATAAACAGTGGGAAACTGATAGCGAAGAATAAAACGAACGAAGTCACGTTGCAAAGAAACACAGAGAAACAAGAGTCTGTCATTAAGAGGAAGACGGGAAGTTAAGTTCCAAAGTCATATAGTCCTTAAGTTAAAGTCATCGAATCA